TATATATATATATATGTATATATAGAGAGAGAGAGAGAGAGAGAGAGAGACTTTTAAACTGCAGATTTGCCTCTTATAGCGTTGTATGAATGCCACCTATTCTTTATTTTCACATTAACACTTATAGCGGAAGGTTAATATATATATATATATGTATATATAGAGAGAGAGAGAGAGAGAGAGAGAGATTTTTAAACTGCAGATTTGCCTCTTATAGCGTTGTATGAATGCCACCTATTCTTTATTTTCACATTAACACTTATAGCGGAAGGTTAAATACTCTCACAAATCACCCAAATCGCCTGTCAGAGCATGCAGCAGGCAGAGATGTCATCTCCGTAGCCAGCAGCAGGGCTGCATTTTTACCTGGAGCCTTTTGAGAAAGGGGGAGAACACCTTGAAATGGGTTGCCATGGAAACCTTGTAAGTCGGAAGCGTTGCCCAGGAGTGAAAGGGGGATTCCCTTTCTCAAGCCTCTTGAGGAAGAGGAAGAATTCCTCAAAAAGAGTTGACATGGAAACCCTGTAACCCGGCAGTGGAGGCCAGGAGCCAAGAGGATGCCACCACTCGACACAAGGTCTGCCGCTTCTCTACAGATGCAATTCAGAACATAATTCCCTGGTTACACAGGCACCCCTGACACTGGTCCTGGAAGGTTGCTAGATGCCATCTTACTCTCCTGCAGGCTCTGACAGGAGATTTGCTTTCCCTGGTGCCTTTTTATCTTCTAATAAATGTTACTGTTAATGCACAGGGTCATTGCACCTTGTTTTATTTTTCTTATCATATAGTCTGTGCACTTTCCCATTCTGTTTCAAGGTGCTGCATCATCCATATACTTCTAGGCCCACATTATATTTACAACCCTACTTGCCACATTTCTCTTGCAGAAAGCCCTGCAGCACAAGTCAAATTGCTTTTTTTATGTCAAATGCTGTACATAGGTACTCATTACATGTGCAGGTTGTGCTTCCTGCTCAGGAGTGCTGCACAATCACTGCATCTCTTTTCCTTTCTCTGAATGCAGATTTGTGGGCAGTGTCTTTCCCAAATGGAAAAAAAATATTTCTGCACTAAGCTTATCTAAACAAGTATTTAACATTCACTATTCTACAGATTTGCACTGGAGGAAGCAATTGAAATAAAATGGGCAAAATGTGGAACAGCAAGCAAGGCACATATTTTCAGGTAAATGTTACAAAAATAACAAAAAATGCAACATAGTTTCCTAAAAAAACGTGTCCTTCTGAAACACTAACATTTTAGCTGTGTGTCACTGCTGATTGAATCACATAAACAAGAACATTATCCTAACTGAGCTGTCAAATGGCGCTGGTACTACCTGTATGAGTCAGAATGCAGCTATGCTTTACTGGAGTCCTTTTATAGCTGTAGTTACAATTGTCCACATAAGCATTATACACTTGGGTGGGAACTTCATACTAGAAAGTAATACTCATTTAAGATAATGTCTAATGCATTCTTGATGCTGAGGTGGTCAACACTTCTTCATAATGTTTATATATAATTAATCCTGTCATTTTGATTTCCACCAAGTTTTTGATTTTGGTCACCTAAAGTATCAGTGAGACAGATTTAAGTCTCAGGCCCCGTTCACATTGAGCGATTTATCGCGCGATTTTTGTAGCGATATCGCTCATATTTCCGCACTATATCGCTCCATGTAGCTTCACCAATACATTTCAATGTAGCTGTTCACATCTCGTCGCTCAATGTCGCTCAATATCGCTCAATATCGCTTGTAGCTCGTCGCTGGTAGCTTGTCGCTTCTACATGACCCTTTTTTAGAGCGATTTTGAGCGATATTGCTCCTGATTGCATACAGCCCAATAGGAAGACGTCGCGACATGTCGCTCAATGTCGCTTGTCGCTCAATGTCGCTCAAAGTCGCGCGATTTGCATGTCGCTCAGTGTGAATGGGGTCTCAAAGTCAGTTGAATTTCCAGTGTATTATCCCAGCAGATTCTGACTCCGACAGCTGAGCCCCTAATCAGATCAGGATAGCTGAGTTTTCTGCTCTGTAGGTTTTACATTTGATTCGGACAAATCACCAGTGTCAATGTCGATGTTCTCTGAGCCATGGTATCGGAAAAAAATATTCACATTTTCTGTCTTTCTCGCTTTCATTCCAGACCTGATGATTTGTTTACAGGAACATTATGCAACTCTCCACAAAGCAGCTGAACATGTATATTTGTTTTAACCAAAAAATTGTGACATGCTGTAAATACTGAATATATTCATTTAAAAAAGATGAATGCACATCAGCTCTGCCTTTCCAGGTCACAATGCACTGACCGAGGGTGTGTGTGTGTGGGGGGGATGCCACTATGAATACTAATACTAACAAATCGGGGGAGAGAGCTCCTAGAGAGAGTATTAATTTAGACAGACTGTTTGCAAAGCACATAGCCATGAGGAGATGAAGAGCACAAAAAAGTAAGTTTCTGTGTGCTTATGTTTTTTTTTTTTTTTTTAAATACTTCCGCAAAGGTGAAAATGAGCTTTAAGAGGCTTTATACCTTGCATTTTCCCCTTTTTTCCTTCATATTACTTGCCTGGTAACACCCTTTGTTTCAGTGTGTTGTCAGGTGTCTCTGGAACAGGAAGTGGAGGGAAACTTCCCTACCTGGGACACAGGCAAAAGTTAAAAACCTCCTATGTTTGAAAAATGTGATTTGTCTTTTAGCATTTTTTTTTTTGTTACCATTAAACACAAAGGGGATATAATTTTTCCCTCTTATATAGCTAGCAGTAAAATCCTAAAACAAGTTATAGTCCTTACCAGGTTAACAATTTTTATTGGTGTTGGGTTTTGAAAGATAAATTATTGTTATTTAGTTTGAGATATATGTTTCAATAAAGTTGTCAACTGAGAATTCACAACATTGTGTTTAAACTGTTCAGTGGTTATTTTATTGATACCGCACCTTACATAACTTATATCTGTCAATCACCAAGATGTCATACCATGCCTTAGTTAGCTTGCCCTGTAGGTAGTAATGTTTTACCTGAGCTGTTATAACACTGTCATTGATATTTTTTATTATTATTCCAATTTTTTTTTTTATAGAAGATAGAAAAATGTTTACCAGTGTCACAATCCATCAAATAGCACAGTAAACAGATTAATCATTAGAGAGAAAGAAAAGGAAGGTGCAACCATGGAAATAGGATGCAATTACATATGAATAATAATAACTAAATGGAATGTCCAGCAGTAGCCAGCCAATGTCATGAAGTCCTAAATTAAACAAAATTCAGGGCGCACTGAGGAGACGTCTTAAGGGGAGACAGAAGCAGGACCGGAGGGGTCAATGGAAACTGTTCCAAAAACAAACCAATAATAAACCAAGAGGTTAATGCAAAAATTTGTATAACTTTTTGCTTAGTTAGAGATGGCAAAGTGTTAATACATTTCACACCACAAAGATTGTTTGCGTCCAAATTCCATCCACAAGATTGTCTTAGTCCAGCCCAATTGAAAAACATCAGTTTATTCAAGAAGAGATTTAATGTAGGTGCCCAAGCAACAGTTAAACCTTTCACTGCCAGAAGCATTTTTTTTCTTTGCTCACATATTAAAATGTACATTTTTCAGCCTGAAGATTACATAAAATTCACCAAAACGATATGATGTCATTTAGTGGAGCCAGAATCTCATATAATCAGGGAGTACAGATGAGGGGCTGCCTCATTCCCTCTGCACTGGGATATCCCTGCAAGTTTGAGAAAGGAGGTCAACCTCCGAAATGCACTGTCAAGCAATGCCTGACTCCAGCAACCCGGAAGCAACTTGCAGGGACATCCCCATACAGAGGGAATGAGGAAGAGGCAGCCCCTGCTTTATGGAGTCATCTGTACTCCCTGATCACATGAGAACCTGGCTCCACTGAATGACACACCACTCTCTTTACCTTGTGCCTCTTACATGGAATCATACTGCAGACAATTATGAATGGACCAAATAGGCCTTCCACTTGCTATCTTTTAAAATACTTGTGAGTGCATTACTTTTTCTTTCCATAAAATGACTTTGTGTTACTGATCTGACCTTGATTTATTGTCTTCTAGTTGTACTATATTGATTGTTTCCTATCCTATTGATTGAGCTGCAGGATCAGTGCTGTATAGGATTCCCCTCACTATTGTTACTGGATCAGAATTTTTATTAAGATTTTACCTATTCCACTCTCCCTAGACCAGCTTGCACAAGTTGATGCTTCTCTTTTTTTCTTTTAATACAATGGTGATGGTTGCAATTATTTATGTCACGCAATATTAGCGCAACTGTTTATGAAACCCAAAATTTCAGAAAAAAATGCTTTCAAATTAATTGTAATGCTCACAAACACAATCTAATAGTCATTTTTTTGTAGATTATATAAGATGAGATTGTGCCAAGTAAATAAATAGCAAACATGTATGATACCCAAAATCGTCCATAGACAATGCTTTAAAAGCCCGTAGAGTTCATCAATTCAGAGTTAACAATGAACGATGGCACCAGAATTGTTGCTCTTACTCTAGTTTGTGCAGCAATACCTAACAAGTGTGATGCAATTGCTATTTTAATACATAGCTGCACCCAACGGGTGACGTTTACATTCATATGTATGTGTACATGGGGACGGGGCCTTTAACTTTTTGGGGGTGTTCATCGATTTTATTAAACTTTATTTTTCATCCTTCTTTTCACTTAACTTTATTGCGATCACATGGGGCAAACAAGCACATTGGTAGTACAAAAACTGAAACATGGGGATGTAAACCTCGTAAACATAAATGGGAGTAATGCGAATGTATTTTTGCTCCTCTCCCACCACCTAAGGGACAGACCCCTCATTTTGGTATGGTGGCCATTGTCAAAGAGACAGAAAGGAATGGAAAATTCAACATTTTAGAGCTGTCATAAGAGCAAGAGGTGGGAAGTAATCTTTTAATCGAGACAAGTGTTCTGGTGACAACTCTCAAAGATGTGGATTCACCTCACTTTGGGGAGATTTCCTTACTCCCTTTTTTGTCTGCAAGAAAGGAAGTGAGGGACACCAACAGCACAAAAATAACCTGATAGGTGTGTAAATAGTTTTTTGACATTTTGGATAGAGTAGGGAAGGGTAAAAACTCATAAGTGGTATTTACGCTTGTGAATTGAAAATTTTTATTAGGAGAAACATATCGCAAGATAAAATAAGGAGAGGGGTTAAAAGAACTCATCCAGACGTAAGACAATTTTGTAAATTCTGAACAAGAGATACTACATGCATTTATGAAGCTTCATCCTTTCCAGTAGAATTAAAGAGAATAGAATATTTTCCAATACGAACACTGGGTCATATAACCGAAAAAGCTTACAAAAAAGTATTATCTGTGGTGCTCACTGCAGAAGCTGAGTATTCACCATGGGCAACAGAGATACGTCTTTATTCAGACATTTTAAATTATGTGACTTGGCAAAGATGACACATGACACATGGGGTGCTGTAATCCCTTGCTGGCACAAAATAATAATTTGACCATGCAAAGATGACATGTGACACATAGTATGCTGTAATTAATGGTTCCCTTGCTGGTACATAATTTCAGCTATTACCAATTTTGCATGATGATGCATATTATCTATCATCTACTAAAATTATTCTAAAAGGGAGCAGTTTATAAATATACAAGTTACTTAAAGCGGACCTTTCCCATATCTTTAAAATAACAACAAACACACCTTCTATGCTTAGTAATGATAATCTACAAACACATACTTCTTGATAATTGCAGGCTTCGTATTCTTTGCATACCTTATTTCTCTTTTCTTCCCTAGTCTTCTGACAGTTACCATGTTTACTAAGGGCAGATTACTAGATCTCCTTTTACTTCCTTGATTTCTGGCACGTGACTAGACATGTGACCATGCACATCATCTCGTCTTTCCCTGAGATCTCGTGAGATTAAAGATGAGATTTCCCAGCAATGCTCTGCTGATGACAAGGCAATCCCAGTGTGCATTGTTTTGGCAAACTGAAGTAATTTGCCCTTTCAAAGCAGGACGTGAATGCTCTGCAAGTGTAAGTATTTAAAAATCACATCATTTTAAACCTGACATGTCTATGTTATTGTTAATCTTCATATGTAGAGGGATGCATTAGTAGAATTTGATTTTTGAGTGTAAAGGTCTGCTTTAAGATGCCCTGCAATTAAATGTAATTATAGATGGTGTAAACAACCATGCATGAATATATAAATATATGGCCCTTACCTTCCAATGGCTTAGGTAGAAAATGAGCTGCTGGTTTTGTTTTCTTTACTCTGTTTCCTTTCATGACTTGGCCTTCTTTATTGAAACCTAAGAACCAGGCTCTACCTGATTCTTGCTGTCTGTATATCATAGATGAGTATATGACATAATAGTTTTCAAACACAGACTCTTTAAACTTGCATTCCAGAGTAAAAAGTTCCTAAGAGAAAAAAAAAAAGATAAATGTGTAAGCCTGATGTGGAATATGTTTCACAAGACTTTTTCATAATGAATTAAACTTTTTCTGTTAGTTCCCCCAGTTAAATACATATACTGCCTCCTAACAAATGAATTTGCTTAACATTATACACATCAATTTCTACATTTCCAGTTGAGATCTGAAAATGTTAAAGTGAACCTGTAGCCAGACTATGCCCATTGGAGTATTTACACGTTCCTAAAAAACAGGAAATGAGCTTTAATGCAAACCCTCACTGACCTCTGTATTTGGAGGTTCTGGGGAGCAATTCATCCTCAAAGTTAAGAGCAGAAGCACTAAAGTAATTCAAATGTTTTTGTCTCAGTAGCTCAGCCGACCCTGTTCCCCCTCCAAAACCATCTGCTCTGTGTTTATATTAAAGATTAGAAAGCTAGAAGGTTGCCAAGTCACTGCTGGGAGGGGAAGCAATGTAAGTTAAACTGGCTTAGGCAGACTTTAGCTGTTAGCTTTGAAAACATAGTTACTCCACAGTGCTTGTAGCCACATATGGTGAGGGCTTGTTTTAAAGTTTGTTTATTGCTTGATATGAATGTGAAAGCCTGTAGCCTGGCCACAGTTATGAAATGTTTTCAAATCATAAAGAGAATATAATTTTTCATCAGTATTGCGGCATATGCAAGTAAAACATGTTTCTCCTCCAACACTCTTATTTCTCTTTCTCCAGCATTCAATGACAATACAGAAGAATAGCAGTCACCATCTTATATCAAATGAACGCCTCCATTTGCTGCACTTCTTATCCAACCTGGAAATTAAGCTGCGTGAACTAAAAGAGCAAGTTAGACTCTGTAGTTTTTATTGCCTCCTCATATATTTATTAAATGTGAGCTTTTAAATTTACTGCTGCTAATTACCCAGCAAATCAAACACTAAGTTTCTTCTTAAATAGGTGCATTTTACTTGGGTTATAAAAATATGTCAGCCTTAATCATTCAGCACTATAGTATGATAGCTTTGAGATTGTATGTATGCCGTATGCTGTTTTTAGGGATTTGTCCCTAGCATCTAAAGCTAGCCATAGACATTAGAGGGTTATCGGACAAGTGGATACAATCTGCACATCAGAAGATTTTATTTTCAGACCATCACATAAACGTGCACACAAGTCAAGTCAAGCATGGATGTTTATTTCCAATAAAGGAAGGATAAAGGAAGGGCGAAGTAAGGCAACCAGACACCAGAGGCACAATCTGTCACAAATTTCCATCAAGGCCAATCGTTATTTCTGCCAAGAACAGTAATTTAGTCTGGCACGATTTGCTGGTGTCCACAGATATGAGGACCGCTATTGGCCAGTTGAGGCCACTTAACATGTATAAAACTTAAATATACGACCTATACAAAAGAATACACAATAAAAGAAATGACAGCTCATTCTAACCATAACATAAGCAATAGAAGGGAAAAACACTGATTGTATTAACAATAGTAAAGCTTGCATTTTGCAAGCTTTGTCTTTAAACCCCATTCATTACTGGCCACATTTCATGCACGCCAAGTAGGTTAGGTATGCCCAGTGGACCTCAAAGTGTCCTTTTTCTTTTTTATATAAATGTGTTCTTTTACTATAGTGTGTAGTCAATTGGAGGCATCATAACACTAAGGCACAAGCCTTAGTATTTACAATACAAACTGCTTTTGGCCTGACTTATAAAAATGAAAAATGAGAGCAAGGAAACTCTTTTGCATAGCAACCAATCAGGCGCCTGAGATCATCTGCCAAAATGTAATACAAAAATGTTAACCGTAATCAGACTAGCTGATATATGCAACAGCTTTTTTCCTTCTCCAGCTTTGGTGAGATCTAGCAATAATGTACTCTATGTAATGGAGTGTACTCTTCTACTAGTTGTTGATCAGCTAACTATTAGAAGCCTAGCATAGAAAGTGAAAAATGCACCTTATATGACAATCAAGAAGAAGGCTCTTTCCTACAATAATCATATTATTACACTAGATTAAATTAGGCTTTCAGAGTGAAACTGAAATAAATATATATATACACATATATATACACACATACACTGTAAAAGGCAAGTGCTTCACAAAACCTTGTACAATAAAAATTATACTTTCATTTGTATGATGTTTCTGTAAGTGGAATGTCTGTATTGATGTTTAAAGGTTTTCCCACAGCCATCATGAAGGGTTATTACAGTTGAATTTACAATTTTAAAGAGCCTTTGTCACTTTGCTCATTCAGGGTAAAATGACAAAGATTCGTAATAACACATACTGACCTTTGCCGTTTGGTCCCAACTCTGGAGAAATAGAGCTTTCATGTGTGAGGAAGTGAGTGACCCCTTCCCAGGATGCATTGCTTGGACCTAATCGGCCAATTTCCAAGCCTGAACACTGTCTTGTAAGGAAGAAGTCATTAACATGTGTAAGCACTGACACCATCCGATATCGAGCTTACATGAGGGCTTAGCTATTGGCGTTGACAAAGGAACAGAGCAGCATAGGAAGGCAGTGAATGTGAGTATAAGTGGGTTGGAGGATGGGCTAATAAGAGACTCTGGGGTCTATTCACAAAGCTGCCGAAGGATCTGGCCGTAGAGAGTTTACTATTGGCTATTTCAATTTGCAATAGCCAATAGTAAACTAGCATTGTACCCGCCCTCTTTTGCAGAGCTAGCTGTCACAATGGTTTTCTATTAACTTTTTTCTACTTTTTTCACTCTTTTTCTGTTCTGCTTGGTGCCTCTGAGGGACCGAGAAGAACAGCCGAGCCAAATGCCGCTCGGCGGCATTCGGCTATTCTCTCACTGCTGTTCGGGATCTTTCAGAATAGCCCGAACAGCAGTGTGAAGCCTGCCGGAGGTTCGGCTCAGCCGATCCAGATGTTGGATCAGCTGAGTCGAACTCCTTCTGCACTTCGGGTCAGCCGAACATGCTGAGCATGTTCGGCTGATCCGAAGCCACACGAAGCCAGCCGATGTACGGCTGATTTCAGCCGTACAGCGGCTGAAATCAGCCGTACCAGCCTGAAGTGAATAGCCGAACAGTGGTCGGCTCACTTCACTTCTGATCGGTCATTCACTTGGCTGCCCTCGGCATGCTTTGTGAATAGACCCCTCTGAATGGGAAAAGTGTCAGATTCTCTTTAATGTTATATGGAGAATGCAGCTTGAACCTTCATTATCTTTTTAAAGACCATTAAAAAAAAGGCAGAACCTGGAATTCTGGAAAGAGATGTTTTCATCTCCGATCCATAAGAGAGCCCCAGAAGATATACCAATTCAGCAAATAAAACGACTTGCCCGTATTGACCCTAACAACTGAAATATCACTTCTTGGATTGACTCATTCCTTAATGCTTGGCGACAGGCCCCCTTAAATTCACATTATGAAAAAAAACATCAGAATATAATCTTCATGTTATTTCCATTTAGACAGAAAAACAGAAGAACTACCGCATGCTGATAATTTAAGATGCCTTATGCCATTCTTTCCTGTTGAATGAAAGCCTATCAAAGGCAACATATGAAATCCTTATTTACAGTAGATTAATTTCATATAAACATGGGTTTTCACCTATCAGTTTTCAAAGGGAAATTACAGTGCATCAGTTTCACTATATCAACATCATATTCAGTCACAGTTTAATACATTTCTCTGTCAATTCTGCGTCACAGTCCACTGCATCTATAAAAAAATAAGTAGCTTTTAATATCTAGGAAATGGCGAAAGCAATCAAGCTTTGTGGTGGTGAAATTACAGCAGCAACCCAAGCAGAGTGGACCAGTAATAAGTCAGTGATGGCCTGCCCTCCTGGGCAGATGATGGCCTCTTTGTGGGATGATGTCCTTGCCAAATCAAGTTTTCCTTGTGTTTATTTATATGTCAAAGATCCATCAAAGTTTTTTTTTTTTAAGAATGAGCTATTAAAATGACAAAGGATGTAAGAAATATGTTGTTTTAAATTGTGTGCTTATGATATAGTGTGTCACAAATTTAATACAGACTGGGAGATACAGATTATAAAGCCCAAACTGCATTACTTGGAGCTGTGCTGACAATGTGCCATTGATGACTGCAGCTGAGCTGTATATGACAGATGCTCTCCCGTTATATGCACTGAAGAAAGTTGTCATTTCATCAGTCCAAGATTCTAGATTAAACACGTCACATTCCACCTGTGCTGCCACCTATTTGTCTGAAAATACATTTTCACCTAAAATATGAAAGCACTGGTATATGAAGTACAAATACATGTACTGATGAAAGGTAGGTATGCAGGGCTTTATTTACCACCAGGCAGCATGGTTATGTATAAATGGGGATACGTTTTTCCTTATTCTGTTTCCGTCTTCTGGCCACCTCTAGGACACGTGGTGAATTTAGCAAATTAACTTGTAGAATACAATCCCTGGAATTTATAAAGAGGGTTGTAGACACTTTAAAAATCCTGTTATTCTTCCACACATCATATGCCGGTGTTTTTGACAAATTCACATACCTGTTAGAAACAGCTCAGAGGTCATAGGCATCCCACACCTGCCTCTCAGAATGAAACAGGTACGTGGATGTCTCACATGGAGATGGAGGCCAGCTCTGAGGTTGGAGTGTCCATACTGCACACTCTATCCTCATGGCAGCTCAGTACCACTAAAGCTGGGCATACACACCTATAGATTTTCTGCAGATTTTCTGTGGTCAGATGGAAAAAGTGCAACAGATTCCTCCATCTACGCTAAACTGTGTGGATGGAGAAATCTCCCACTGGGCCAAGCTTCTGTACCTTTCTAGTTGGCCCTGCTGACTCTCAAAACACCTGTAAAATGCCTGCATCCAATCAGATTGTTCAGGTATTTTGACAGCCAGCGGGGTAAAAAAAAACCCAATTTTGCTAATTTTCAGCTGCTCTGGTGTTCCTTTTTATCACTGACATTATGAGTATCCTATTGATTGTGAATGTTTTTAAGGCAGAACTAATTTTTTTTAATGCAAACATTCTGCAACTGCAAGTTAAAAATAGTGCATATAAGCACACTCTCAAGCCTGTGACTTTTCTAGCTCATGTGCAGGACCTAGGATTCTTTATGGCCTCTTGGCTTCAGTTCTGCTGGTTGAACAGCTCATAGGTCATAGGCATTCATAGGCATTCCACACCTGCCTCTTAGTATGTCATAATGCATGTCTATCACTGCACAGAACCGTGTGGCCTCTCACAGTCCTATCCTCTGATCTCCCTTCTCATTTATTGACAGCTGCATTTTTTTAAAACAAGTAACAAGCAGC